AGCTAAAATGCATTCATGGGCTATTGGATTCCATCCTAAAGACCAAATGGTCACCATGCTACTTAATGTATAATCTATAGGCCCGGAGGTTCATCAATTCCCGTACTGTTAAGCATTCCGGAAATGGAACAAAACACACTTGTTCAGTAAATACACCCTAGTTTTAAATAGAATTGTCTAACTGGAGAGATATCAGTCAGTTAGTGATGAATAAATAAACCAGTTAGAAATGTATTAACTCCATTCTCAGCAATATATATTTTATTTTTTCTAAATATATATACAAATATACAAAACAAAAGTTTATAACAATTCTTAACATGATGATGTATGTGGTATACACAACAGTCAGAACAGGAGAGAGAAAGAGAGGGATAGAATGGAAGCGAATGAACGCTGGCAAGTGAAAGTGACACAAAAGACAAAATTAATATTATAAAACCAAAGAAAACAATTGAACTTTGAACAATAATAATAATAACAAACTATATTATCATCATCAGAGAAACAAGAAAAAAACAAACAACTTATTTTCATCTAAATAATCTCATGAAAGAAAACATAACGAAAACAAAACCAAAACAAATAAACGAACAAACAAATGTGTCGTGTGTCGTCTATCTCTGTGTGTATATATATTATGATGTGAAGAGAAGACGAAGAAGAAGGAATTTAGTCATTTTCAATCAATTCTAAGTCAAGATCAATGAAAGAAGATGAAATCTGTTTACTACTGTTATTATTATTATTATTATCATTCCCACTAATATTATTATTATTATCATTATTATTACTACTATTATTTGATTCATTAATTGGGATATCAGAAAAAATACGTTGTCTATTGGGCATTTGAGGTGAAAGAATAGTCTCCATATCATCAGATTCCCCATCTGAGTTTGAACCATCAATCGGTGAAGGTGTAAAAAGGATAACTTGTCGACCAGTAGCATCATCCGTATCATGTTGTGGATTGTGTACAGGAATTCCTGTTGACAGTAGTTGTGGTGAAGGTGGACAAATCGGTGTAAATGTAATATCATGAATTGATGGAGGAGAGGTCAATGGAATTTCAGGATGATGCCAACTGACCTCGGATACATGATTACTACCACAAACACTGCCAATACCACCTTCATCAATCATAGTTTCAGGTGTTTCATGTTCTTTTTCATCTTCAATCATTTCAGAAAGTTTACCCAACTCACTACATGCGTAACGATGAGAATGTTGATGTTGGTGATGATGATTATGAGTGAAGCTGTCGTCAATGAATACACCGGATGAATATTCGCATTCTTGTCCATAATTAACAATATTACACGGCTGAAAGTATACACACAAAAAGGGTACAACATTAATTGAATTATTATCACTATTATTAAAAGAAAAGATAACTCTCAAAAGGTTAAAGACGAAATATATAACATAGAAGGAAATATGGGAGTTAAATTCCAAACAAATCAATATCAAATAATAACTGATTTCAAGATTCATCACTGAAACAGACTTCTGTTAGAGAAGCACTGAAAACTAACAGGGATTACTGCATAGCCGTTTCGTCCCTGCTTGGGACTCCTCAGAAGCACACACTTACTACCCCATCACAAGGGATCGAAGGCAGGACTTTCAGGTTACCAGGTGAGCTTACTGACCATTCATAATCACTGGGATGAAATCCAATGGCGCCATCAGTCCTAACATATGCAAATTTGCGAAAATAGCACAAAAACCGGCAGTCAATGTCGTCATCAGAGAGTGTACTTGTCCTGTCTAGTACTCCCTGCTAGCTTTCAGTAGATCTGTAACTGAAGTCAGCTTCAGTGATCAGTCTTTAAATCAACCAAATCCTTGCAAAACAGACATTTGAAAAACCACCTAACATAGTTAGAAGCATTCGGCATATATTACAGCAAACACGTGTTAAGTGTTCCTAGATTTCTTTTGGAGAGGTTCAGGGTGAAGTGTGGTGGCCATCGTTTCTTGCAACATATCATACTACTACTGTAGTGTGTACTGCTGACAGGATTTATCAGTAGTAAATAAAGAGACGTTCATCGGCACACAAAAAGATCAAATAGGCGTAGAGAAAGATTTGATGTCAAAGAGAGCGAATGAACCAGTGTTGCAGCGAAACACGGCAGACGTGAAAAGAAGACAAAGAAACATAATACGAAGGTTAGAAGTAGCACAACACTGAAGATCCATGCGAATAACGATTTTCATTTAAGCTGTACATAATTCCTCTACATACTGAGGCATCAAATTACACATAAACATTCCGTTACCAAGTCTCTTGTCTGTCTGTTTTCGACATAGAACTTTGCACCGATGTGCAGCAGTTCAAGTCGCCACACTCCATGTAACACACAAAGGAAGAGAAGAAAGTAGAAGAAATGCAAAATAGAGACAGTAAACAGAAGTGTGAGACAAAGGAATAGTAATATCGAAGAACAATATAGTTACATTTGAAATCATAAGTCATTGAGAACGATTTTGAGCCATATGACTAATTGTTTCCGGCCACTGGTTTTTACCATCCCGAAGACCTCAACCAGGAAGTCTACAACTTCCTACGTGGCTTAAACTAACTGTTATGGATTTCATTGACTGGTGCCATGTTTTGGTCTGACCGCCGCTAGCTCTTTTGCATCCTGACCCTATGTTAGCTATCATTGCCCGTTAGTCAAGGAAGGCGATCGATGGCTAGGCATGAGTAACACGTGTCCTAAACATCTCAGTCGATGTAACTTCATAACCTCATCAACTGATTTCGCCTCCTTACCTAGCACTCGACACCTAACCTCAATATTGCTCACCCTATTATACCATTTCACACGGGAGATAGAACGCAGGCACCTATGATCAAAGACAACTAGCCGACCTTATCGTGTCTTCCACTTTCAATGGCCAGGTCTCATAGCCATACAGGAGGACGGGACGGACTGCTGAGCAGTACACACGCCCTTTAGTCAATAGTCTGATATCACGTCTACGCCAGAGACGGCGTAAACTGACATATGCGAAACTAGCCCTCTGTAACCGCGCTGAGATTTCGTCAGTGATCAACTCGCTGGCATTGGCTAACGCAACTTCCCAAATAAGTGAAGCGGTCAACGTGCTCTACCACTTCACTTCCTATTTCTAATCCAGGGGGCGGTGTAGTCCAATCCTACAACATCATTTTACATTTTACAGGGGCGAATCGCATGCCAAACATTCGTAGATTGCAGCTCAAGGTATTCAGAAGACTCTGCTAGATTTTGTTAGCGTCTTCACCTAGGAGGAAGGACTATATCATCTGCATATTCTAAGTCAACGAGATTATTCCCTGGTAGCAAGTCAATCCCTGAGTCTCTGAAGTGAGTTAGGCTTAAATCCATTAGTACATCTATGATGAAATTGAAAAGAAATGGGGATAATGGGCATCCCTGACGGACGCCACTAGTCGTCACCGCTTCAGATGACAACTCGCCGTAAGCCCTCACCTAGCTGACTCCATGAGTTCGAGTAGAGTGCCTTGATCAATGCGATATATTTTCTCGGCATTCCTTTCACAGCCAAGCATCGCCAGAGAACCTCTCGGTCGACAGAATCGAATGCCGCCTTTAGGTCAAGAAATACAACGGTTGTTGGGCTCCGGTAGGAATGCCTATATTCTAGAATCTGTCGAAGGGTGAAGATATGATCAATACACCCTCTTCCTGGTCTAAAGCCTGCCTGTATCTCTCGTGTTTGTGCCTCCCGAGCACCACTTAGTCTACGCAATATTACTGAGCCTAGGACTTTAGATTCTATATTAGTCAAGCTAGTCCCTCTATGATTATCAAAGGAAGACTTGTCTCCCTTCTTGTATATGGGGATAATCAGAGTCTCTTGCCTTCTACTGTTACCCTACTACTCATTTAAGTAGGCATTACTATTAGAATAAGAACTTTAAAAAGTGTATGATAAACTTAGCAATAAAAAACTTACATTACACTTGATCGTATCTTCATGTGATCCAGTATGACATGAATTGATTAACTCCATAGGACAATAGTCACTTATCGTTTCTGTATTATTATTATTGCTATTACTATCATTATAATCAACATTTATAGGATGCATTGTATTCGAATGTGTACAACGTTTAATTAGCGTTGAAGTATTCTGCTCATCATCCCCATTACCATCACCATAACCATCAGTGTTATTGGTGAAATCAGCTTCAATAAGTGTTGGATCATCTTGATGAACACATGTTTCAGGCATACATAAATGTCTCGATGAATATGAAGAAGATGTAGACGAGAAAATTGACGTGGGTGGATAGTGTTCCGAAAAAGAAAACACTGAATGTTGTAATTCATGACAAGAACAACAAACTGTCGTAGATAGTCTACAATTACTACTGGTATTATTATTATTATTGTCATTTAAGGTTGTATTCAATAGTGCTGAAGATATATTACGTAAGTGATCATCATTATTGCTGGGCACTTGATCTGTACTTCTCTTCCAATAGTAACATCCACATGGGAATATATCATCGTGTATTTGTTCTTTCTCTTCTTCATGTGAATTATTATAATTAGTATCATGTACTTCATCAAAGCATTCAGTACATTCACCGCTTGGTCCACGTCTACGTTTCAACCCGGTTGTTGTCATGACGCTGGAAGGCGTTGACTGGTTGTTGTTGTTATTATTATCATTATTACTACTGATAATGTTAGTAGTAGTCGGAGTAAGACTTGTACAAGCTAAAGGTGTACATAATGATCGATAATTATTCTGTCTACTAATATGACTGTCATTATTATTATTATGATTATGATTATTGGAACAGTGAATTAAATGTTTACAATTCATATTATCATAGATTGTATTATCATTTGGTTGAGAACAACATCGTAGGGTACATTTCATCGATTGCAAGGAACAACTACTACTATTACTATCATTGCTACTGTTACTACTATTACTTCCACTACTACTGATATTTCTCATTGTCTGATGTAATCCTTCATTATTATTTTTAGTGTTATTATCATTATTCATATTGAATTCATTCTCTTCTAATTTGAAGCATGGTTCCAAATCAGTTAATTGATTCGATGATTGAGTATAAAGATTTGATGAGAATTTCTTATCATCAATTGACATTTTCCCGTGATGCTTTCTACCACTATGATGGTGGTGGTGGTGGTTATGATGGTGACGATGATGATGGTCATGATGAGGATGATGATGATGGAGATGAGGTCGTTGATGTTGATGGCATTGGCAATGACAATAATTTGTATTTGGCATCGAATCTGATGGTACACCAAACTATATTAAGAGATAGATGGAAATAAATTATTTGATCAAATCATAATCAATTTTATGTATACAATACGGATTATAATGAAAAACCTAAAAGAAAAACTATCTAAGTTTATGTGATAGAAATCAAACAAGTGATTATGATTACTGGTAGGACAGACAAACTTCTTAGTTAACCGTAAAGTCATGATTTATCCATGGCGCTGATGTGATGGCCTGATTAGACAGTTTCTGATTCGTCTATTTATGGCTTAATTTTCTAAGGGATTATGATGTTACACAATCAATCCGATTTATTCATTATTTATCTACGGTTTAAATTCCTGAGGCTTTTTAAACACGACATAGTATGTACGTTGTCGAATAAACTTTGTCATGGTTGATTGACTTTTGCGTCTACCTCAGTGTGAGCGATAATTCCAAGTGATCAGTTGGTTGCAACATCGTGTTCTGGAGGCGCATTCTAGTCAAGTTGTAACGACAGAAGACAAGCGCCAGACAACAGATCGTTTATTGAGAAAATCAACAGATATTTATAGATTTTTATGTACATTATTATTAGCGTTATTGTTAGCAGAGAAGCAGCGTCTTCTGATTGGTTGTTTTCTTGCTGAAGGTTATTCTGTGCTGCTTGTGACCGTTTCTTAGAAAGTCAGACCGTATATTTGCGAATCGTATTTGCACACGTTAAGTCTGCTGTGATTGGTTGGTGAGTTCCTCAAGGTTAAGCTTTGTTATTGTTTTTTCTCATGACCCCGATTCGGGATGTAAACATTGACGTAAATTGTTGTCTACAATTTTGGCTTGCAGACAGCTCTCACCACAAAGTCAAACAAACTCACAACTTAGCATCCCTCCATCATAACAATTAACTAACTGCTTAACTTACAAGAAACACCTACTACTGTTCATTAGATCTTAGTTCCTCATACAAAGGACTATCTTGATTAGTTTGAACAGAAAGAGAGAACGAGTAGATCTGCAGGAGAATTCAAGACTTTTCAGCAGCTGCTAACACATACTTCTAGATTATTTTAACTCAGAGGGCACAATTGAGCAACAAAAAATATGGTTAAATAAACGAACATAATTGGTTGTTTGACCTCAAAAAATTAAACCATAAACAAATGAATCAGAAACTGTTCAATCAACTTGTCATGGGTATGCATTCCATGAATCACGACTTCATGGTTAACATAGAAGTTTGTCCGTCTTAACGCTCTCCTATTTTGACGTAGTTGTGTTCGCTGAGCTGGATGGTTTCTTTGTGAAGCTTTCATAGCCCCACTAGGCGATATCTTCAGCTCATACTTCAATTTGAATTGAGCTTGAGCTCAGAGAACACAACTACATTAAAATCACCCCGCCTGAGCTACAAATCTCCCCTATTTTTCAATAAGTCTCCTAATGGGGACTGATGGAAGACACTTTGTAGGTGCATGTACTCTCTGTCTATGAAATAACGTATTTTCTCTCTGATTAATAGAACACTAACAAGATGTTTCATGGGTGGAACCATTGTGGTGTACAGTAAATATTCCAAATACATGATCACAAAAGTAGGTATACCATTCTTACTAACCGGTAATATACGCCATTACAATTATTTTAATGCATCAAATACAAATTATACATAGTACATAATACATCTAGCAAAAGTTTTTCCGTACAAACAATCGACTGATTCAACTTCTTGAAAAAACTGTTCTTGGCTTAAAGTTGAATTGATCATTATAAAAATACTACTTAAATACATTTCAGTAGTTTAAAAACTAACGTAAATAAATTTCATCCTGAATACAGCAAAAAGAATACATTGATCGGGATAAACCGATGTCGTTATATTTCGTTGGCTCTTCTCAGTTGCATACAGCCATGAACAATTTAATATCAAGATAGAAAATATTCAAATACTGTAATTATTGATCGCAAAGATGGTGGGTATCATTGTCACGTGATTAAGAATCATAATGGAAAGGAATAAAAGCCGTTGTTAAGCTTGTCAGTATGTATAGAAATAATTCGCAAATATCATTGAATAAAGAACGAATGTTAGGAATTGAATAAAGGCATAAAATCAATGCACCTAGGTAACGGTCAAATAATTTACTTCAGCAGAAGTCAAGAAAGGGTCTGGTAAAGAATATAGATAAAGGCAAAATTAGATTAGAAAATCACAGTGTAAAAACCAAATATGATTAAAATGGAGAAGTTAACAAAATAATAAGATTGAGTAAAGCATATTTATTAATGTAAGGCAAGACTGTCAACGGTGTCCTTCCGGATGCATAAATTCGGTTGCAATAATCACTTAGGGGTAACCGCCTAAATGATACGTAACCGCAACTTGAAGCTGTATCGAAGTTTAATTATCTTATAGGATTTTGATGCATTGATTTCATGACCACTGCATAACAGATGGTCATCAGTAGTTCTAGTGACGACTTTTACACCTTTCAGGTGTGATTTTCTTGGAATATTCTAAGATATGCAGCCCGATGTATATGCTTAACACGTACATGCTCACTGGCATATGCAGTTGTAGGCCAACAAAGTTACGATTCACAGAATACATTCTTGTTCTGTAGTCTATTGTATCTTCCCGTAAATTCATGCTCTTGTTCTTCCTTATACCTTTACTAGACATCATATCTTCTTTTCTCCTCCAGGATCTTCACTAACTGATTGTAAATCAGCAATTGACAGAAGATAGTATTCATCGGCCTTCCAGTCATACCTCCCCCCTTTAATAGCTGAATGGTCAACTGGTACGCCTCGTAACCCTGAGGTCTTGGGTTCGACTCTCGGTGGAATCATGGGTGTAGACTTTTGAAGAGTCCTGAAACGGTACCAAACAGCTGTTCAGTGCTCCCTGACTTCCACAATTTTCCTAACTGATGATGTTAATCCACGATTTAACGTGAAATTCTTATTTTCCTTTTCAACTTGACGCGCTATATACTACTGATATGTGTATTCCTGGTCAAACACACATGTTCGACTACGAGACAGTACAATTTTTATATCGGTAGGTGGCAATGAGAAATCTTTAAGAAAAGAAATTAAGTATACCAAGAAATCACAGACAATATTGCAATCAAAAATACAAAAAGGAACAAAACTAAGTCCTCACTTACCCTTGAACAATCTGGTAAACTAGACGCCTCAGATAATCCAGAAAATGATGCTTCATGAAATCCTGACGAAGGAGTTCGAGCAGTCATTTGTACTGATGAGGAGATAGACCCACCAGTAGCAGGGGATAACGAAAAACTCGATGAATTGACATCGATTGGAAAACTACCAAATGATGCACGAGTTGGAGTGAACGCTGATGATGGACTACAAAGATTTTAGAAAAAAAATATTGTGAAAGGTTTCGATAATTACTTTAAATACAATTAATATACGAAAAAAAATTAGTTATAAAAGTTCGTCTAGGTGTGATACTCAAGTATCTATCAAGAGACTGTATAGCAGTTCGCTTTGCTATCTTTCATGACTGTGAAATATAGCTATTGAAAACGGAAGACATGAAGACTAGCTGCCTTTGACCAAAGATGTTTGCATTCCATCTGTTACATTAAGTGGCATAATTTAATGAGGAATATTGAGTTTACACGTAGTGTTAGGTAAGGAGGGTAAGTGAATCGACGAGGGTGTGGAGTTACATCGATTGATATCGCTACGACACGTGTCGGGCGTGGTGAGCCACCGGCTTCCTCGTCGAGCAATGTTGGCTGATATAGGATAAGGTTGGAAAAGACTAAGAAGTGATTAAATTAAAAGGTGGCAAGTCTTCGATTGTCAGTTTGAGGTGAATACTACACTGCCTGGTTGAGGAATTCGAGATGCGAAGAACCAGTGTCTGGAGACTATGAGTGATATGGCTCAAAATCGTTCTCAATGGAGCAGATGCACTCACACTTTGTAGTCTACCAGATCTATAAAGTCTTCAACGAAAAAAACTGAAAGATGATCATACTGCTGCTCAATTCTGACAGGTATTACTGTCTATTATGAAACTTTAAATCCCCTAGGAGTTCTTATCAATGCATCACATGATGCCGATCGGTATCATTACATAATCGAGTTCAAAAAGCAGATCGACAAAGCAGTTTTCAAACATGAAAGCCACCTGATCTGGTACATGGAAACTAAAAGCTGTCATTTATTGTAATACCCTCACAATAAGAGTTGTTGAGAGAAAACAGTTGCAAACTGTGATGTAACAGTTGTCCAGTGACTTCCTTTAGCTGATAAAGGTTTATTCTAACGCAAACTGCCTAAATGAAATAAGAGTATACCACACACATACACGTAGACGTACTTTATATTATGTATCACAGATAAAGAAAGGTATAATTCAACTACTTTGAATTTTTAAGTGTCAGTTGGTAGGATGTCACTGGTGGGTTCCATCAGGTTGGGCATGAGGACAAATGCTGTCAGATAATATCTGCTGGCAGTAAGCTTCATGCCTCGACAATGGGATAAGATTACAGAATTCAAGGGTCATTGAAACCCAATCCAAGTGGTTGGTTGAATGGTCGACAAACTTGTCTCCAAACTTGGAAATCCCGGGTTCTATCCTAAGTGGTGGAGCTATATATGTATAACTGCTACTAAAGAATCCTAGACGAGGGCGAAACAACTCTCAATTACTCTCAGCTGGTTTTCAGTGGATGTTCTCCAATTGTGTTATCAATCCACGATCAATAATGCTTTAAGTTCTCATCTTTTGAATAAACTACAAGCGACTTAACAAAAAATTCAGTTCAGTAGATTATTCAAGTGTTGGTTTGAAGGGATTTGATTTGATTGGTCACAGGATTTCGTCATGAGGTAACATCGGTTAGAGAACCATAGGAAAATTAACAGGGAATTTTGGAAACCTGTTTCGTCCTAGTTTGAGACTCTTCATTGTACACACCCACCGCCAGCGTTCGAACCCAGGGCCTTCCGGTTACTAGGCCAGCTCAACACTTGAATATCAATCTGGTCACTAGTGGCCGGCCCTATTCAGGTAGGTAGTGACCTGGGTTCTAGTGATAAGTCGTCACCAGTGGGGAACAGCAGGTCAGGTGTGAGGACTAATACTCGCTACGTATGACACTGTCTAGTGGCCACGCCATATTGTGAATTGACAGAAGTTGGAATTCATGGGCTGGCCATTGTATCGAGCCCCAGTGGCTTAACGATCTACGAGCTCACTCGCCTAGTAACCAGAAGGTCCTGGGTTCGAACCCTGGCAGTGGGCGCGTACTGATGAAGAGTACCACACCAGGCTGATGAAACTTCTGTCCAGTACTGCCAGGTTTTCCAATGATTCTTTAACCGATGTCAGCTCATGATTTTGATTTTTGATTATAGCTTGATTCCACACCGTATTTTTGGTACAGGTATGGAATTTTCAGCATGTGATATCGGTGGCCCAAATTTTACAGGCCGACCATAGATATCGGGTGTGCGTCGGCAGGGGATCGAACCCCGGACCATGTGCATGGTCAGTGAGAGTCCTAACCGCTGTAATCAGCAGTTTATTACAGTTGTTTTTTGTACATAAGATGAGGTAGTTACTTTGAAGAACAACAATACACATGTGAGGGTAACATAATGACGCTAAAGACTGACATAAATGAAGAAATTTCACACTTTCACATAATATAAACGCAAAAAGAAGATTGACTCTGAAAAAAACACAGCATGCCATCTCCTATGCCACCAGCATCATATAAATGATATCCAATAATCCAAATATCCAACCAACCAATAACAAAATAAACACAACAGATAATTCCCTTCAAAACTATGCCCATGCGCACGTGCCAATTCCCTCAGACACACACACACACACTCACAGAGGCGAAGAAATACAGACACACGCATTCCTCTTCGTCCAAAATGAACGAATTTAAACATCATCCTTACAATATTTAATTTTTGATTGATAGTAAGTCATTCTCCCCATTATTTGACGAGTGAAGACTGACAGGATTGGGAGAAAATACCATATAATAGTAATAGTAGTACTCTTATAACTTATAATATATTTATGCTCTCACATCTTCCCAACCAAAAAATTACTAAACAAAGGCAAAACACAACTTTGGCAAAGAGAACAAGACAAAAAAAGGAAATACCAAACACTGTTGCATACACAAACACATACGTACAGACACAGAGATGTATACATACACTCAAGTGTAGGAATATCTCCCACCCCCTCCCAAAAAAAACTGTATGTTTGTACTTCAATCCATAGAATTTTTGGCCTATAATATATATTATATTGATAACATGTAGGCATATATCATCATTATCTATAATCATTAGCATTGGTAACTATGCTAAATGAAACAAAAACTTAAATAATATTCATCACCATAGGAGGTTATAGCAAATAATGATAATAAAATACTCTAACACTATGCAGTATACACAACTAACTAACTAATGTCATGGGACACACATGGATATATTGGCTACTATTAGTGTTATGTTAATTTATCATGACGCATTCCATCAACGCACATAGAACAAACACCCAACGCGTGCGTACATCACTCATTTATTCACATTCATGACACAGAAATACCTTTCATCAAACAACTCTCAACTATGCAATAATGACGACAATAATAATAATAATAACTATAATAATAGTAAAATTTTTGTAGTAAAGTTTTTTCCATCTTGTATTTTCTCTTCACTTTTTTTTCCTACTTATTTTGCTTCAATCTTTACTACATTTTCTTTAAACCAAAACACACAAACATACACGCGTTTACATACAGGCATACATGCCTGCCTGCCTACCTACCTACGCACCCTCTACTGCACACGTTTGGCAGTCAGCCAACTTTATTTATTTTTTGTTATATTTTTTGTTTAGTAATAACAGTTCTAAGCCAAAGCTTATCATTATTACTACTATTACTATTACTATTATTATTATTAATCTATTTGCATGTCTGATAGCCAGGTCAAAACTAGTCGGGAAAATTTAGCCAATCGCGAGGGGATTAGGCATAAAAATCAATATATTACGCCAATACATTAAATAGGCTGGAAAGTAGAAAAAAAAGTTGGATATACTTTTAACCAATCAGAATCAAGTATAAATTATTATTATTATCCATTATTATACTTTTATTATTTCGTTATATATATTTTCCATTTTTGAATGTTGGCAGAGTATTATTATCACAATTGCGTTGTAAGAAAGATTGATTGGTGAATATATGTGTGTGTGTGCGTGTGTCTGTGTGGATGATTTAATTTCCGACAGACAAAAGAAATTTAATTGTAAAACGAACAACGTTGCAATCAGTGGGTTAGTTTTTTTTATATAAGACAAAACCTAAGGGATATTGGAAAGTTGTAATAAAGTTACACTTCTATATGAAGACTAACTTGCTTGTACTCAGAAGCTAGTTTAGATTTAAAAGTAGATGATTGTTTCAATGAAGAACCGTGATAGACACTGATACAACTGATTGGCCTGTATCTAAACACAATTGTTGTCAATCTGAGTATCATTCGATGAAGCTAGTAACATCTTATTACTCGGTGTATCTCATTTTACACGAGTGATCGCTAATCCACTGAAGGCATCATTATTACCAAGGTCTGAATATTATATTCCTTTCTCTCCTTAATTGACTGAGTTTTTAACACATAGAACTATGCAGAGAAGTGCGGTAATTCAAGTTACTACACTTCATACAGCACATAAAAAAGCAGAGAAAAGAGAGATTCAAAGAAACTACAATGAGCAGAAATGTTTACAGGAGAAAGATTGGCAACAAGGAGAAACATTAGGACTTTTAACAGACTTTGGAGATTATACAGAGTATAGGTAAATCTGCGTTACTAAGATCAATTTTGAGCCATATCACCAACAACGTCTACAGAACTCCACAGACAAGCAGCTTACAACTCCTTCCCTACGTACGTGGCTGGCTTATACCAACAGTTTTAGATTTCACTGATCAATGCCATGTTTTGGTTTGACCACCCCTAACTCTTCTCTAACATAATGAATCCCATATCAGCTAACATTATCGCCGAGACAGAGGATGGCTTGGTGTGTGTAACACACATGTCCTAGTCATATCATTTGGTCAAGAGTATAAAACGAACTGATGAAGTCATGAAGCTGTTAAGTGTACTGAGTGAACATGTCAAGTCCCCCTCCCCAACCATGGATTTGGTTACTGATGTGTACTTCCTTATGTATCAAGAACTAAACCACTGCTGGTCTAGACGTCATGAAGTATTGATATTTCAACGAATGAACACACTATGGAAACATCTGGATTATCCTTAAATAGATTACT